CACGTCTCTGTGGGCACTTACCTCCTCAGTGCACCAGAAAAGGGAAAAAACTGTGTGAGGACACGCTATGTGTGGGGAACTTGAGTAACCTGAGGAGGTCCTGGTCATTAATGAGCAGCAGTCTACAGTGACATTTTGATACAAGGAGTACGTATTTCTTATGGGATGTTTTCCACTTATTTACTCTTTGTGAATTCTCTGCTTGCTAATTTTAAAATTACTGTGGAAAATTATTAACATCATCAATGAGTCATATGAATGAAAACAGTGATGGATTCTTGAAAGTTTAATGTAGCTTGTCATGTTGATAAGAAATGAGAAACCCACAAGGAAGAGCTCATTGCTTGCAGTTTCCTCTTCTCAGTCGCCTGTTCTTGGGGCTGAATTTGTTCATAAAGGCCTAAAATCTATGATGGGGTGGCTCAGCTTTTAAAACCATATGCAAATGTTTCATCCAAGCGCTGGATTAGCTGGGCAATGTCAACATTGCAGCACATGCCAAGGGAAGATAATTCAGTGTTTCAAAAAGGGCCTTACATGGTTATTCCTCCAGCCCCCTCATGAAGAATCACGGACAGAAGAGTATAACATAAGCTCAGAAGTGTTTTGCTTGCTACCTTGTAGTGCTAATTAAATGCAGATGATATAAAAGAACAGTTATTTACATATCTAAATCTCATTCTCTACAGGCCCAGCAATTCCTGTTGGGGTGGATGTGCAAGTTGAAAGCTTGGACAGTATTTCTGAGGTTGACATGGTACGTAATCCACTTTTAAGCCTCAATTATTCCTAGTCATAAAAAGTCCCTCGCACGGGAAACCTATGGATTTCAAATTATTGGTCAGATGAAAGTAAAGGTAGCATTTGTCGAATTCAAAGAAGCTGATACTCAGAACTAAAGACTTGATAAAACCAGGTGTTCAAAGGCTTACCTCTGTATTTCAGATAAAGATCAAAATATGAAGGAAAAAGGGACCTTAAATAGGAGAATAATCAGTAGTGCCTGGCCCTCCTCTTGCATCATGGCCAGAAGGCTGCCCCAGGGCTGGTGACCTGAATAGCCAGGCTCATTTTGACCTCTTTTTTCCCTTCTGGTGTAAGTGGCACTGTCTCCTAAGAAATCATTAGTTGTCCCTCTTCCTTGCTTTCCTTTTTCCCAGCTCTGGTCAAGCTGATGTGCTTTCCTTGTCCAGCCCCTGAGGTTGGCTTTTCCAGCCAGGTTGCAGCCTAAATGCTGCCAGTGGCAGCAGTCGCTGGAAGATTTTCTTTGGGGCTATAGCTGTAAGGGGAAGGTGGCCAGTGTCCTCTAGGGAACAGGAGCTGGCAGCATCCCTAGGGGGAGAAGCAATGGAGACTGGGGCTAGTCTGCCAAGGTGGGGACCTGCAGGTGGGAGAGCCTGTCCCTACAGCAGGTCTCTGCCATGGTCAGAGAGGGACATGTCTAGCTAGCTCTGCCCCATGCAGCAAGGCGAGGGCTGGCGCTGGCGATTTCTTTGACAAATTCGTGAAAAACCTATTGGCAATGCAAGACTGCTGCCAGGCAGCCCTTTGAAAGAGACAGTCAGATTTACTGATGGTTTGTCATTGGCAAAGCAAAATGAGGTGGTGGTGGTGGTTTTAGAAAGCTGTGTGGTTAGGAAGAGATCCCAGCCTCTGTTGCTGCCTGTCCAGGCTTGGCAGCTGTGGCTCCCATAACCGCTCACTTAATTGGGAATATAAAGAAAACAAGTGTATTTGATCTCTCAGCATGAGAGAGTAGATTCAGCTCTGAAAGCAGCAGCTGCCAGGTCAGGATCAACAAACAGATGCTTTCCTTTTTGTGACTCCTGCCCCTCAACGAGCTTAAAAGAGAGCTTTATTTATACGCTTGTACAGTAGGAAAAACAGTTCCCTCAGTTGCTGTTCGCAGCAATCTAGGTTTTGGGGGGATAAATTGCTTAGTGTTTAGCCTGACCATTAAGCTGATTTTGAAAGTTTTTCCTCTTGAACATGCTATTGATACCATAGTCCTTCAGGACAATTTTGCCAGGATTGAAGAATCATTTCTGCAGGGCACTGCTTCTCTTGGGGCATATTTATATCGCTTTCAGGACTGAACATTACTGAGTACTGTAATACATTGATTGGGGGTTTATGTTTTGTTTTGGCTGAAATTATTTTATCAGGAAAACCTATTTACAAAGAGCATTGCTCTAGGGAAAAAACAGAGAGGGGAGGGATTTCATCTACCTGGTAGGAGTGAGTTTTCTTTCCAGTGCTTCCTAGGTGTAGAAAGCAAGACTGACAGACCTCTTTCTGGTCCTTTTCGTTTTTCGCGAAGGATTTCACTATGACTCTGTACTTAAGGCACTACTGGAAGGACGAGCGTCTCTCGTTTCCCAGCACCAACAACAAGAGCATGACCTTCGATGGCAGGCTGGTGAAGAAGATCTGGGTCCCTGATGTCTTCTTCGTGCACTCCAAAAGGTCTTTCATTCATGACACTACTACGGACAACATCATGCTGCGAGTGTTCCCTGACGGTCATGTCCTCTACAGCATGAGGTAATGGTGCTACTCCTGTACACCCCATGGGACTTCACTGTCAGTTTTGCTCCTGATGCAGCTTTGGTGACCACCAGCACTGCTACTGCCAACCCTCCTGCTCCCACTGCTAATGCAGAGCCCTGTTTCCAGCACGTCCAGTATAAGGTGCTTCACAGGAAGCTGCAGGAAACCATGCTGTGGGCAGTAACAGGATCATCTCTTCCCAGGGGAAGCATTCCCCTAATTCTTTGCAGTCAGAGGAGGGCTTAGTCGCGCGGGAATGTTTGTCCCAGGGTCAATGTGTGATTAAACTGGAAGCTGCTGATATACCAGATGGTGACCTCTATAATTATCCTATTTTGCTTCCTGTTTGTCTAGAAAAACTTTTTTTTTTTTTTTTTAGTTGGCATTTGCGTGTTGATGTAAAGATTTAAGTTTATTGAAGCTGGAATGGCAGTATTAAAGGCGCCCTATAGTCCCGAGTTTTCTAGCAGATTTGTTGGCTGGAAGAATCCCGAGGCATGACCTGAAGGGTTACTCGGCCTGTGGGTATACACAGACCATGACTGTGGGTTTGAGGGTTTCTGTAGTACACAAGGACATGGAGACTTAATCCTCTAAACTCCTCTACCTTATTACAGATTACCAAAAGTACCACAAAAATCACCACTAGCAAGTAAACTGCCATATAATCACCACTAGCAAGTATACCTATGATTAATCAAGTGAATATATATATGTAATGCTATCAAAAATTACTATCAGCAATCAATAATACAGTATCAATCAATCATAGAGCAACAGCCAATAACAGCAATAACTGACTAGGTATATACTATTACAGGTTACTATAGACGTATCATTAGTGGGGCAGCTGATCAACAATATAACAGGAGGTATTCTTATGATGCATTGCTTGTATGGGTGTATAATACTGGTATCAAGTGATACTATCATCAACTGAACCAAATCATCCCATGGTTGGGAAGACAGACTGAAACAACTCCAAAAGTAGGCTCAGAGGTGGACCAATGAGACAACAGACAGAGTCTCACTTCAGAAATGCTCTGCATCACAGAGTCTGGAGTCAGACGGGCATCCCCAATGACATCCCAAGAGCTGGTAGAAAGTTCATGCAGTGAATTCAACCTGTTTAGGAATGGAAAAGTACAGGCAGCATAGGAAGTTCTGAGAGAGAGAGAGGCTCCATTTTAGATAAAAATTATGTCCTCCTTATGTCACAGAGACCACTTCAAGCAGCCAATAGGTGCTGTTAATTTTTATTTTTCACCTGTGATTGCCAATAGATGATGATATTTTCTGTTCTTTGAGAACAATTTTTATTTTCCAGACTGTTTTCCACCTTTTCAGACAATACTTTTACAATCCTTTTTTGTGTGCTTATCAATGACATCTCAGGATGTCTCCAGTTTCTGTTTACCCCATCTGCACTTCAAAAGGGCTGGCTGTGCTTCTCAGGGACGTGTCTGGTTCCTAGGCTGGCAGGCCTTTCTCCATCAATATTTTTCAGCAGACATTTTCTTTTGCTCAGTAATTTCCCCTTTCTAACCAGGCCATCTCTACGGCTGCTCACATCAGCATCCCGGCAGATTTCATTTCCTTCAGATGAATGGAAAAAGAGATGCAGAGAAAAATACATTGCCAGAGGAGAAAAGCTCAAGAGCCCAGACAAAAGGACATTTCCATAGGACAGAAAAAATGCTCTCAGTGTACAGTGACCTTTGAATGCTTTGTAGCCAAGGATTTCTGTTCTAGGATCTTTCTGGAACTTATTCACTTCAGCTATGGTAAAATAATTCTCAAAAACTCAGAAAGGCTGTATATAAAGTTTGATTCAGGAGGTTATTTCTCTTTGAAGACTGAGCACAGTGGGCAACATTGTCCGAAAGTTTGATTCAGGAGGTTATTTCTCTTTGAGCACAGTGGGCAACATTGTCCCAAGTAGGAATATATCCCACTGAACCAGAGGGCTCTAAAGTTCACTGGTTTCATAGTCCAAATACAATTCTACTAAATTTACTTTAAAAAGCTCTGGACAAATTATTAAAACCACAAAGAAACATGTATGCGTGTAAGAAAGAGAGAAGGCACCATATGGCCACTTTGTTTTGCCTGGTCTTAATGACGAAAACCACATCTTGACCAAACACTTAGGAACACTTTCCCTGTTTTGAATGCATGTAATAAATACATTTATTGCATGAAAGGTCTGATTACCCACACCTTAACTAAGCCCCTAAAGACATTGTGTATTTTGTTAGAACTGGATGAGGATGAAGGTGCCATGTAGCAGGAAAGACAAGAAGGAGAAAGAAAAATGAAGGAGGAGGTTAGATGTAAGCTTGGGTCAGCACTGGGAGGAGATGAGCAGGAGGAAGGTAGGAATGTTTTCGACAGATGTTGCTTGGTGGAACTGAGTATCGGTTTCCATTGCTCATACTCTGCAGCTCTCGTGCTGAAGCCAGCAGCATGCCACTTGTTAGCAGTACCCAGCAACCAAAACGAAGTAACAAGTATTTTTAATGGCAAACATTGTCTCTGGTCAGATCTGCTCATTTGCCCACGTGCAGAGTATTTACTTTCAAAATTTTCTGTGAGCTGTCAAGGAGGTGATGTGACTTTCTAATGTTACCTGCAAGAGAGAAGGATGTGAATTAACCACAGCTGACCACACAAGAGTTAAATGGATAATTTGGTACCTAAACCACAAGAAGAATGAGAATCTGCACGGTATTCGGGCCTGGTGGTGTTTAGGATACTCAGAACGTGATCTGGCTGACCAAGCATGGGTGTCCATTGGTGCTGGAAATGCCCTCAGGTGTCTTGAGGTGTCTGCATGGGGTTGGCACTGGGCTGAGGGACCTTTCGTTCCTCATTTGGGCCTTGACCTTTCAAGGCCACCGGAACACTGCACTCTAATCAGGGAATACTTTATTGATGTTCTGAGTTTCTGTGCTGTCCCTGACAAATGAATTGTTAATGACCACGTGTTGTGCCACAGTTTAGGTGACCCCAATGAAAGAAAATAGCACATTATAACGGGACTGAGTTATAAAATGCTTAAATGCTGCACACAAATAGGGGAAGTCATTGCTAAAGTATACCTTCTACAGCATATCCCAAAAAGCTTCTTTGAGTTTTGCTCATATGGCAAAATTTTGCTCAAGTTTTATGGTCAAAATGAACAGCGTGTGCTTTTCAGGGGCTATCAGTGTGTAGGTCAGAGTAGGATTTGGATCACAATCCCTTGAACAGAAGAAAAGTTCTTTATCAACATCTGCAGTGAATCTAGTAAATGGTCATGGCCAACGTAAGTCGGCCTCTGAAACGATGACTCACAGCTGATTTGCCCCTAGTAAATCAGGAGCTCCACTGCAAATCTGTCCACAAGAGACAGTTCACCCGCCCTCTGGAAAACTTGTTACGTAATCTTGTGCACAACTGGACTAATTTAAAAACTGGATCTGTGATTGCTGCAGCTTTTTAGCTGACATGAACTTAACAGAGGCAAATCTCACTTGTTGAAAAACAGCTGCACCCATTTTACATCCCCTGCCCCAGAAATACACCCCCCAGATTAAAAGAATTTAATCGAGGACTCAGAGAAACTGCATTTGCCTTAATAACGTATATACTGGAGGAATTTTGTGTCTTGCAATGAGGATAGTCATGTTCCTCAGGCTTGAGTCATTGTTGGGGTGACTACAAAGGGAACTGAGCAATTGGGAAACCTTATTCAAACTGGACATAAGGGAACCTTTGAATGTAGTTGGTGAAGCTATTTTGTGTTGTTGCCTTGTAAGGAAATAGTTGGATATAAAACACAGTGGAATTATCTGTGCTGACGTTAGTATTACTGTAATGTCCAAGATAGTGGTTTAGTTTCTTGATAGATATTGAAATTACAGCTTCCTTTAGAGTTTCTGTGTATAATCCATCTCACTTGGACTTGGAGAATTGTTAGGCATTTTCCTGGGGATTTTATGCTAACATTATGCATAATTGTTGGCTTTAAAGCTGCAGAATGATTTATCTGTGATACAATCTCCCTTCATTGCTCCTCATGAAAACCACCGTTTCTCATTTTTGACTTCTAGGATCACAGTGACAGCGATGTGCAACATGGACTTCAGCCGCTTCCCCCTGGACACTCAGACATGTTCCCTGGAGCTGGAAAGCTGTACGTTGTGTCTGTCTTTCTAGTTGGACATGCTCCATGGTTGGCTGCACAAACATAGACTGGACACATTTCAGAATACAGTCTATTTTAGAGCCTGACGAAATAGTTCATCAGATGTATTAATACCGTGTTGTATATCTAGCCCTTATGCTGCAAGATGGGAGTTTGCAAGCAAAGCGTTTTAGTAGATGGCACTTTCAAAAAAGATTGCCAACATAAATGTTCAACATACACAGGTTCTCAGCAACTTGCTGATGAGAAATCTGGGGGAGAAGCTTTGCTCTGTTCATTGCTTCTGATGGAAAGGTGATGGTTTCAAGGGTCACAATAAAAAGTTCATTGTAACGATCATTGATTTTCTCTGAATTTCATCACCAATGTGGTTTATATATGATATAATCCTGATCCTGCAAACACTGTGACCTGGGATCAGCTTCTTTGGGAAGGAGTTCTGTGGAGAAAGTGAACAGTAAGATTTTCGTGCCTGTTCAGTAAAATTTCTCCAGGGTGAGGCAAGACTAACATCTAGTTGTTTTGAGGTCCTCACAGCTATTTAACTGAAAATTTTTGTTTACAAACAACAGAATCATAGGGTAATTTAAGCTTGTCTAGAGGTCAGCTGCTCCAATACCCTGCTCGGAGCAGGGAGAGCTTTATAGTGGGTTGCTCAGGACTGCGTCCAGCTGGGTTTTGGACATCTGCAAGGTAATGGAGGCTCCACAACTTTTCTGTGCAACCTGTTGAAAGGTTTGACAGCCCTCGTCCTGAAAAAGTTTCCTTTTACCTGCTGGGAAAAAATCCTTTGCTGCAACTTGCATCCCTTGCCTCTCATCCTTGCGCTTTTCATCTTGGAGAAGAGTCTAAGAAAAGCCTGCTGCCATCTTCTTTATGACCCCCAGCAGGGCAGCAGTTAGGTCACACCACAGACTGCTCTTCTTCCAGCTGAGCAAACCCAGTTCGCCCAGTCCCTTGCCTGGATTTTTGTTGTTGTGGTTATAGTATATCATATGACAAGATCTTTTTAACTTGCTCTTGTTAGCAAACTTATTTGTGGCATTACTTCATGTCAAAGATGTCTTTGTGCTTGTTAATTTTGACTGGGTTTGTTTCTCCTCCAA